ATCTTTTTCAACATCGGAAAGTATTCCTGAGATAAGGTCATTGAGCAGTGGCTCTCTTAGACGTTCCTTTAGCACTCTCTTTCGTTCGTTCGCACTCTCTCCCTTCGTTCGAGTCGATTCCGACTCAATTCGCCTCTATTCTCAGTCGATCTCGGTCGCATTCGCCTACCTTTGGTCGGTCGACCTTAGGAAGATCACTCTCAGTGTTGGAGAACTATCTCCTTCATTGTCGACACTGGGCACACTTCATTTCTCTCATCATTAGGACTAACTGTGTACAATTGACTTCGTCTTGCAGAAACCCAGTCAAATCAGGATAAGGTCGCACAAGCGATCAAATTCCCACAGCGCGCATGTGCGGGAATATCTTTTAACCTTATCTCCGTTTATGTTTTTCTCCTTTTAGACACTCATCTGTTCTTCCCCTGAATATATGTTTCACTTTCCCATGTCAATTACTTTCATCACTCGTGTAGCGCATGCTCTTGTCCTTGTCTCAGTTCATTACCCCTTCTGCTTGTCCTTTTGTCTTTACCTCTTCAGAACTCCGCATGCTACCCTATAAGGGGCGCAGCGCACGAGCTGAAGCCAAAGCCCTTACCCACTCCACAGCACGCTCGCACTTTTGGTGTGCGTGCTCTCAGTCATGCCGTCGTGCATCCTGTAGCTAGCCCTCCATTGCACGCAGTCTAACAGTATATTCGAACTCACACCTTATACTTCTGTTACAATCTTCCACATGGCTCACCCCTGCCCTCGTATTACGCAGAACTCTCTTTGGGCAGGAACATTATCCACCCTGTCCACCTCCAATCGTCCTGGGTCCATATCATTGGCAGACGTTGCAGCCTTCCACGGATTTTCCATACGCGAAGAATGACGTCCATCTATACCATTATCATCCACGTCGTCTCATCATTTGTCGCGCCCACTTCCGGAAACTCCAACCCACCCTGCGCAGGAGCCCTCTGCTTCCGCACCAGGTGGTCCTCCGGATGATGGCAATGGCAATCCACCAGATGATCCCCCCCCAGATGACCAACCAGAAGATGAACGTCTTGGTCCCTACGACTATATTTCTCCTGAGTCTCAAGTACTACTGCAACTATCCCGTGCCATTGATCGACTCTCGTCTCGCGACACTTGCGACAACGAACCAGACACCTCATCCAAAGCCAAAGTCTGGGAACCGGATACCTTTGATGGTACCGACCCTCATAAGCTTCGTGCTTTCTTTGTTCAGTGCAAGCTCAACTTCCAGCATCAGGAAAACCTGTATCTCTATATAGGATATACATATCCCTATAGC